AGTTTTATATCGAGGTAATGGTTTTCCTCAGAATTATCAGAAAATAGTTGTAATTTAGGAAAAGATTCTTCTTCTCTCTTATCTATGAAAATTTTCCTTACCCTTTCTCTTTGGTTTTTAGTAGGATAGGTTTCGTTTAGCCACTCTTGAGCGTTTTTCATATCGTGATATATTTATTTTAGACTAGAAAATTTAGTCGCCCCTTTTGATACTTAATTGGAATTGCTTTATTAACCATCTTTGGGGCTTTTATTCGTGGTTTGTTATTTAGTGGAGTAGGAGGAAGTGCCGCCAGCAGTGTGGCCGGTAAAATTAGTGTGAAAACTAGTAAAAAATCAACTGGGGGAAAGAAAGTAAAATAATAATATAGTAAGTAATCAGCAATTACTCTTCAATCCTTAAAATAATGAAAAATGGATATCTTGTGTAAAGCGTTATTAACCAAATCAAATAAAAAAGAATTCTAAAAAAGTTATGTCAAGCGTAGAAATAAAGGCTGAAATAATAGACAATGGCATTCTGTCTTTTTTTAAAAAAATTGAAAAAGAATCATCTATTTCCAATAATCAGGAGATAATAGATATCGACGAAGAAAAATTGCAAGTGCTATCAGCTTGAGAAGAGTTTGTGGAAGTAAATAAACTCCAAAACAAAACTCTTGGATTTCCAATTTGATTGGATTTCTTTGGCTTCAATTACAAAAATGCCGAGAAATTTCGTAACTCTATTAAAGAATTTAGTAGTTTTAAAAATTGAAAAAAAAAATTCTGGGAGCAAAATCGCTCTTTTTATAATGAGAATCGCAAAAGGTGTCATGAATGGTGAAAAAAATGAAAAAAAGTTCTCGAAAGGCGAAAAACCTACTGTAAGTTTGAATGGAATGGTGGTGCGAAATTAACTAGTTTAAGGGAGGGGGTTATTCAGTTTCGCAATTCCGGTGTTAGAGTCAGGAGAGCAAATTTTTTCCCCGCATTGGTGAGAAATCAGTCATTACCAATTGTGTGAGATAAAGAAAAAAAAAACTACCGATACCTTCGCATCAACGAAACATTATTTCTACAAAGTTTTTCCCCTGACTTTAAATTTCCAGAAATCAGTAATAAGAAAAGGCTCTTTGGATACATTGGAAATTCTTTAAATGTTGAATTGCTCAAATTTTTTTTGCAAGAAAACAAGGAAATTTTTTTGTCAGTCCTAACTGAGGAGAGAAAATTGAAAAATGATTTTAGATTTGTCGACCTTTTTTCGGGTATCGGCGGTTTTCACCAAGCTATTAAACAAATTTTTCCCAAAAGCGAATGCATTGCAGCCGTGGAAAAGGATGCTTTTTGTAAGGAAACTTACCTCTTGAACTATGAAAGTATGAATTTCTATGGCGATATAACTGATGAGGATAAAACTCAAGTTTATTTGACTAATTCTAACATCGAATATGATTTAATTACAGCCGGTTTTCCTTGTACCCCTTTTTCAAAAGCCGGTAAAATGCTGGGAGTTAATCATCCAGAGGGAAAGTTGTTTGATAGTGTTGTTAAAATAATTAGAGATTATAACAATAATCACAAAATTCCAATAAAACTAATTATCCTTGAAAATGTTACTTATCTTGTTAAACATAATAAAAAAGCAACGTGGGAGAAGATGAAAGAAGATTTAAAAAAGGAGAATTATGAGATTTTTAAACAAGGAATTTATAATCCTCTAGATTTGGGTATATTACAAAATCGTTCACGTTTGTTTGTGGGATTCATCCACAACGACTTTAAAAAAAACAAAAGGTAAATATGAATATTTCTGAAACTAATTTTAAAGAAAAAGAAAGACTATTACATGACAAAAATGGCATCCCTTTAAAGAAGGAATTCAAGAAAAAATTTTATTACTCGGGCAAGGAATATGGATTTTCTGGTTTCATTGCGATTTTAGCGGAGGCAGGAAACAAATTTTCTGGTTTCCGTTTTATTTATAAAGAAAAGAGAATTCTTGTTTCAGAACTTGATTGAACATGAAAACCTAAGGAAATTTTTGGTAGTCCTAGCACCCTCCCATATCAAAGAATTTTTGGAGAAATAAACTTTAATAGTAGTAACTGAGAAGTTGACGAAAAACAAAATAGAATAAGGAACTTTGATGAAAGATTGAGAGGAGAAATAATAAGAGAACTTAAGGAGATTTCTAAACCATTCAAAAAAATTTCGCAAGAACATAGAAAACCTAACTTATTGAATAAGTCTGGATATTTTTTGGCATTGGACGTCGATGCAAGAAAGTTTGCAAGCAGTGATTTTTTTCCACCAGTTTCGGAGGATATTAATAAAACTCTTTTTCTAGAAGACGATTCGTCAACCGATTTTCCTATTCTCGCAAAATATCGTCAAGTTCTAGAAAATGAAGAAAAAATTAAGGATTCTCAGTATTTTTCAAGGCAATTAAGAAAGGTCTACAATGAAGAAATAGGGGTCGATAATAGCAAGATGCTATTTGAAAACTCAAAAAAAATTCTCAAAAAATTAATAGAGGAAGATAAAAAAGTAGGAGTAATATTTGGAAAAATTCAAAGTGGCAAAACATACAATTATATAAGTCTGTTCATTAATGCATTTACAAATTACGATTTTGACATTTGTGTTATTATTAATGGAAACAATGATGATCTTTACCAACAAAACAAAGAGGTAATAGAAAGAAAAATAAATTCCATAGGAGCGGCAGAAAATTATCAAATACTTGAAGCAAAAAGAGATCAAGGACTCGATTTTTTACCATGGTTTACCCACGCAAAAAGAAAAAATAATAAACTTATTATATTTACCTTAAAGAACCCCTCTCAACTGGCAAAAGTTACTAAATTACTTTCTAATCAAAAATTAAATAAAAATGTTAAAACACTAATTATCGACGATGAAGGCGATCAAGCATCGCTAAATATCAAAAAGATAAAAAAGGCCCTTGGCGATTACTATTCATCTAATAATAGATCGGCGACTAATAAATCAATTTTAAATCTCAAAAATAGTTGCGATTCTTTTTTTTTGTCCGTCACCGCCACCCCCTACGCAAATTTGCTTATTAGAAAGGAGGATGACCTTTCCCCTGACTTTATAGAAATGATTCCAGCAGGAAAACCCAACAATGGTAAAAAATATGTAGGAATTAACGACGTTTTTGTTGATCTACGTGAAAAGTTAGTAAGAATTATTGAAAAAGAAGAGATTGACTTGCTTGACGGTGGCACAGAAACGAAAATTATTCCTCTGTCACTCGAGAGGGCAATTTCTGCTTTTCTATTAGGTTCAGTTATTACAGAAAAAGATAGTTTAGAAATGTGAATTCACACTCACATACAGGTCAAGGACCACGAAATTATAAGAGAAAGAATTAATCTTTTTTTAGACAATTTAAAAAAACAGATAGCGGATAACGAAGATAAATTAATAGATTTTTGTAATCTGGGTTATGAGGAATTAACAAAAAGAAAGTTAGGAAAAAAAGACAACTTAATACTAAAGGAGTTTGAAAAAAGAATAGACGAATTGTCCGTCTTTGTAATAAATGCAACAAAAAAAGGAAGGAGGAGAGTGCCAAAAGCAGGAACTGGACCAAACAGAATACTTATAGGTTCAAAACTACTAGACAGAGGAATTTCACTCAATCTGACTAGTGTATATGTAACTATTCGGGCAAAAAATACAACAGCAGTCGACACTACTTACCAACGTGCAAGGTGGTTTGGATATAGGTATGAAAAATTGCTTTCAGTTACTCGATTATGGCTCTCACAAGAGGTTGAGAACGATTACCAAGAAATAAAGGAAATGGAAGAAATATTTAGACAAGACGTTGAAATTATTGACAAAAGAAAACTTTCCTTAAAGGATTGAGGCACAAAATTCTACTTGCCAAGCACGAAGTTATGAGTGACAAGGAAGCAAATTGAACAAAACAGATTTAAGTTAACAGATCACACTCAGTATATTCCCAAAAAGGACCACAAAGAGGAATGAATTTTCTGGGAAAAAGCGAAAAATGAGTTCGACGATGCATCGGATTCTTACCACAGGAGAGAGCACAAAGAAAAAGAATTTAATAACTTTTCAGAGTTCGTCGAATATCTTGGGGGGGAGAAAGTTTTAAACATGATACTCAACAAATGTGAAGTCAGTGGAGGTCTCTGAAAATCAATTAAGGAAAAAGCAGAAACGAAACATGCAACTCCAAAGATAATTTTAATGCGACCTTCCGAAGAAAGGAAAAGGTCATTTATAAAGTCAAAGTCTAACAAGAAATCAACAATTAATCCTTTCGTTGGCAGAGACCCCTCCAAAAAAGGGGGGGGAAACAAAGATGAATATTTAGGAGACGAAAACTTATGAAGATATCCCCACAACGAAAAGAAAATAATTCTACAAGTTTGGGAATTTAAGTTATTTTATGCAGAAAACAAACCTTATAATGACAACAGTTCATATAAAAACAATAAATTTTTATTTTATAATATTAGTTTACCAGAAAAGGTTCGAAAAGTACTTACTAAATCAGGATATCAATAATGCTAGAGTTTTCATTTTCAAAAGTCAGTAGTTTTCTTGAATTTTATTTTAACTTTGAGGGGAAAGATAGTTTTAATTTATTTAAAATTAATTGAAAAAGCAAAGACTTTTTTGTTGGAAAAGAAAATAAAAAAATTATTCTAATTATTCCTAACAACGAAGAAAAAAGAAAGGAAAGTACAGAAAAAAAGGTGTTGAAAGTTGGGATGGATATATTATTGCTTAATCAAAAAATGGAGTTAACAATGAAAGGAGAACTGACAATGTGTAGAACAAACGTAATAAAACTTAATTTTACGGATAAAAAAGAAGAAGAAATGCTCGCGATTTTCGTTTGAAATATTATCAATAATTATGAAGAGTCGACTTTAGAAAATATCTTTCAAGAAGAACTAGGAGAACTAAAAAATGTCTTTAAAATTGGTCGTTCTAAAACTACCAATAAAAATTGGGAAGGAGAAATAATTGGTTTGTATGGAGAATTAGTTGTTCTTTATCTTCTTTTAAATAAATACGGAAAAAGTGCTTATAAATGGTGAGGAGACAAACTTGACAGGTTTGATTTTTCAATAAGCAACGAAGTTAAAATAGAGGTAAAGACAAGTTTGAAAAATGGACGAAATCATCGTTTTTCTCATCATCAACTTTATTCATTAACCGAGGAAATACTAGTTGCTTCCTGCTTGTTAGTGAGGGACAGGAAAGGAAGATCGTTGCGCGAACTTTATTTTGAAGTGAAAGAAATAATTAAAGATGACTGAAAAATGTCACAAGATCTAGATAGGAAAATTTGTGAAATTGGCATTTATGCAGAAAACCTAGGTCCTGCTTTTAATTTTTCTTTGGCATTGGAAAGGATTAAATTTTACAATGCAAAAAATATTCCTAAATATGAGCAGCCTGAGCCTTTTAGGGTAACAAACACTCATTATTACGTTCTTTTGGAAGATCTTCCAGAGGAAGAAATAGAAAAATGAATAGCAAAAGACTAGAAAACAAAACCTGCAATTATAATTTGATGATAAAAAACTTTAGCGTTAGCATGCTTGCTCCTCATTAGTTTTTCTGAAATTAAAAGCACTTTAAAATTTAAAAAAATAAAAATTAAAAATATAGTTCATGTCTAAATATAACCATCTTTCCAAAGAAGAATTATTAAAAATTGTTGAGAAGCAGGAGAAAGAATTAGACCTCAAAAAATATGGCCTCGTCTGAGATAGAGAAAGAGAACCAGAACAAGTGGTTTTAGACTGTGAAAATAATTTATCGATACTTAAAAGAATTAAGGAAAAGCAAATTAAAACTGACAATAGCGATGACAACATTTTAATCGAAGGGGATAATTATCATTCTCTGACTTGTCTCAACTACACTCACAAGGGAAAAATTGACCTAATTTATATTGACCCCCCTTACAATACTGGAAAAGAAGACGAGTGAAAATATAATGATAAATTTGTTGATAAAAATGACCAGTATAAACATGCAAAGTGGCTAAACATGATGGAAAAAAGGTTAGAACTTTCCAAAAATCTTTTAAAAGACGACGGAGTAATTTTTATATCCATAGGAGAACAAGAACTCGCTAACCTTAATTTGTTATGTGGAAAAGTTTTCGGACATGAAAATTTTTTGACTATCATGGCAAGAATATCTAAAACTGCTAGTAATCAAGGAAAATATTTTGCTCCCTCTTGCGACTATATAGTTTGCTATGCAAAAAACAAGAAGCGCATAGATACTAGTAATTTTTATGACGAAATTAATGAAGACCTTTATACAAAAGAGGACGAAAATGGTAGGTATAGGGATGATATTGCCTTGTATCAATCAGGGCTAACTAAAAGGTCAAACCTTAGATATTATATTCAGTGTCCCGACGGTTCGCTAGTTATTCCGCCAGGAAGTTCATTGCCTCCTGAAAAAAAAGAAGGCTTGCCTGTTTTAAGTGTAGCCACTGATGATAAAGAATGAAGGTGAAAATACGAAACATTAGTTCAGAATAAACACTTGCTAGTTTTTAAAGAAACAAAAACTTCGCCTCTTTTAGACCAAGACGGAAATAAGTCAAAATACAATATTTATACAAAAAGTTATTTAGAGACAAGAAAGGAAGAAGGAATAAAGCCGAGAAACTTTTTGATAGATAAAAAATTTCTGAATAGAAGAGGAACGGATTATTTGAAAACATTAGGGCTAGACTTTCCTTATTCTAAACCCAAAGAACTTATTATTCATTTGCTTGAAAAAGTTCACTTGCCAAAGGACGCAATTATTTTAGATTTCTTTGCTGGTTCCGGCACCACTGGCGAAGCAGTTTTAAAACTTAACCAAGAAGAAAAAAGTCAAAGAAAATTTATTCTTTGCACTAATAATGAAGGGCAAATCGCTGAAGAAGTTTGTTATCCTCGTTTAGAGAAAATTATCAAAGGTTATGTCAAAAAAAATAAAGTAGATGAAAATATAAAGGGGGCTGGTGGTAATCTCCAATACTTCCAAACTGATTTAATTGCTGTCGAAAAACTTACCAATATAAGTGATGAAAAAAGGCACGAACTAACTGAAAAAGCGGGGTGAATGATTGCGATTAAAGAAAACACTTTTGAAGAAATGGAATGTAATGAATATTATCAAATTTTCGAGAGTAAAGACAAAAAAAGAAAAACGGCAATTTATTTTCGAGAAAATATGAAAAAGTTTGCGGAATTGACCGAAAAATTACAAAAAACTAAAACAACCTTGTATATTTTTTCTTACGGGAGAGTAGATAAAAAATCCTTTCATTTAGACAAAAATATCACCATTGAGGACATTCCAGAGCCAATTATTGAAATATATAAGGAAATTAACTTAACTCTGGAAGAAAAATAGATAAGGATATTTTATAAAAAGTACTAAAAATAACATGACAAAAATAAATTTAAAAGATTTTCAAAATAGAGCAGTAGAAGAATTAAGCCTAACCTTCTTAGATTTGTGAAAGACTGGTGTCTACCAAATAACACTCATTTTCAAAGCACCTACCGGAGCCGGAAAAACTATAATGATGGCGGAATTTTTAAGATGCCTTGATGACAACTATCAATTTCATGAGGACAAGGCCTATATCTGAATATCCTTTGGTGGCGATGATTCTTATAGGCAATCCAAGAATAAACTTTATCAGTATTTCAATGAGGGAACTGACATGAATCTCAAAGACATAAATAACTTGAATGAGGGAAAACTTTATAAAAACAACATTTTTTTTATTAATTGGTTAAAAATAAAAGGAACCAATAAAGAATCAAAAAAATTAAGAAAGAGTGGCGGGGTTGGATATGGCGGGGAAGCAATTTTTGATGATTTTATTAAACAAACAAGAAAGGAAAGAGATTTAGTATTAATTATTGATGAGGCTCATATTGAAACAGATACCCAACTTGCTAACGAAGTTATCAACCTTTTTGATCCACGGATTATTATTAGAGTAACCGCGACTCCTAAAATCGAACCAGGTGTTAGCGAGGTCAGACAAAAGAGGGCCGGATTTGTGGAAGTTCCAGAGGAAGAAGTGAAGAAAAGCGGGTTAATCAAAGAAAAAATTGTTATTCAAACCAAAGAAGAGATCGAAAAATTGTCTGAAAAAAAGCAACTTTCGGAGGATGAAATGATGCTAGAACTGGCTTATAACAAAAGACTAGAACTTAAAAAAATTTATGAAAGTTTGGGACTTGATATAAACCCATTGGTTTTAATTCAACTTCCGAGTGATTTTAAGGAAAAAGAGGAGATAGAGACTAATCGAAAGGATTTTGTTTTGTCATATTTAAAAGCCAAAGGTGTAAAAAAGAGGGAAATTGCTATTTGGTTATCAAATGAAAAGACAAATTTAGACTCAATTGAAGAAAACAATAATAAAGTGAATTTTATGATTTTCAAAGTTGCTCCGGCTACCGGCTGAGACTGCCCACGAGCAGAAATACTAGTAATGTTTCGCGAGGTTGATAGCCCAATTTTTCGCACCCAAATAATCGGCCGGATAAAAAGGATGCCCGAAGGTTACCATTATGAAAGGGAAGAACTAAACAAGGCTTATATTTTTACTAATTACGACAAAAATCATATTAGAGATATTAGCCAACTAGAAGACAGAGATAAAATCCCAGTTCATTTTACTAAACTAAAAAAAGATGTTGAAAGGATTTGTTTGGAAACAACTTATCATCATCGAACTGATTTTGATGTTCTTGTTCTTCCATTATGGCAAGAAATCTTTTTGGAAGTAATGGATCAAGAGTTTCGAACCAGACCTCAATTGCCTATCGAAAATAAAAAAAGTGTAGGAATGAGGATTGATTTTTCTTTGACAAAAGTAAGCAATCAAATTATTGTAGATGCCGAAATTACTAGTTTTGACAATTTTGCTAATGAAATAAAAAGAAAGGGTCAGAGTTTTGATTATCATTTTTCCCAACTAGAAGTGGAAAAACTCTATAATTTACTCTGTTTTCAAGAACTTAAAAATCAAGGTGATAAAGAAGCAAAATATAATCCAGCAAGTTCATGAAGCCAATTGAAATCGGCTCTAAATGTCTGATTTGAGACCAGATTTGGATTTAATAAAGCAACTTATTACCCAATTATTGTTAATGAATTATTAAAAGAAAACAGCGAATTAAGGATAATTATTAGCAAGACTTTGAAAGAATTTAGAAAAAAATATGAAATAGAGATAAAAGCGAAAGAAGAAAAAGAAGTTTTTAATTTATGATTACCTGAAAACAACATTAGTTTTACCGCGGATTTTAAGGAAATTGAGGGCATAAATAAAAATACCTACGAGAAATTTTATAGCAAAAAACAATATTCAGGAATAGAAAATGAAAAGAAGTTTATAAGATTTTTGGAATCACAACCCAATGTCATTTGATGACACAAGCAAAGTTATGGAAGAAATGCCTTTGCGATTGAATATTTTGACACTCAAGAGAAGAAAAACAGACTTTTCTATCCTGATTTTATTGTTAGAACAAAAAACAAGGTTTATCTATTGGATACAAAAAAAGGTGATACGGCAAAAAGCCCAGAAACCGCAAATAAAAGTAATGCACTTCAAAAATGAATTAAAGAAAAGCAATCAAAATGTAATTTTGAAATGGTTGGTGGAATAGTTATTGAAAAGTATCCGAACTGAAAAATAAATAGGAATAGCGAGTATGTTTACAAAAAAGAAAGCAACTGGGAAAATTTAAATTTTAGTGACTAATAAAAACCTCTTCCTTCTCCTCAATAAGATACACATTTTTAAGATGAAACTGGACTAATGCGAAATAAAACTTACTTTTCGATAGAAATCTCGTTGGCAAGAAAGTCCACTACAGAAAAAAAACCAGCAGTCAGAGATAAGTGCTCGATGAAAGGAATCGATCTTGGTCCATAGAAATATAAAATTAAGCAGATAATTGTTATGACCAGCAATAGATTTTTTTTGTCCCAGATTTGCATCTTTTTAATATTAATATTTTTTTTATTCATATTTATAGTTATAATTTTACGGTTTATTTAGCATCCGAAGAAGTCTTTGTAATAAATTCATGAACTTGAGATCTCCTACAAATGCTTAATATAATTTTAGTCTTTATCTTTCTCTTTTTTTTATTAAGTTTGCTAAGCACAATTAATTCTTTTAATCTTGACCATTAATGCGAAATTGTTTATTGTCCTCTTCTTCTAACCGTTTCTTCTACTTAGTTAGTTTTTCCTCGCCATTTTACCTAAAACTAGGGAGAATTGTATAGATAATAAGGCAATAATATATTTATTTCCTACCCTTTTGTATTTATTCCCCACCTTCCAAACACAAAACAGGAGAAATAAACCCAACCTAAACCAAAATCACCATTTATTCCCGACCTAATTAGCCATTATGAGAGGAATAAAAATAAAAGACAATTTAAAACGACATATAACAAATAACCTTATTTTTTGCTGTTTTTTAAAGGCTTGAATAATAAAATAAGCAAAAGAGAAATTTAATGCAAAAAATAAATAGAAAACTATATGAGAACGAAAATTAGACCTTTTTAGACCTTTTTCCTAACTTTATCATTCTTTAATTAATTCAAGACTTGTTTTAAAAGAGAAATAATTTAAACTTCAATAATTTCTAATTCTTGATTGTCTTCATTAAAAGTTAAAACAACTTTACCACTACTTTCTTTATCAATCTTTCCATAGCGGATAGCAAACTGTTTATTCTCTTGTAATTTTTCTTGACTTAATAATTTTTTGATTTGAGGATGATTTTGATTAATATAAAAAAGTTTTCGGTCTCTATTTGATGAAATATTGTCAAAAACATAATAACCAACTTTTTCCCCTATTAAAGGGTATTTGTAATTAACAATTTCTTCTTTTTTATTGTCTGGTTCTGGAACTTTATCAGGTTTTTTATCATTCTCAAACCTCTTTTTTAACTTTTCAACTTCTTTCTCTAACTTTTCAATAGTCGATTTGTTTTGTTTCTCTTGGCTAGAAAGATTTTTTATTTGAATTTCTAAATTAGATTGTTTTTTCTCTAACTGGCTTTTTTGAGCAACAGAGATACCGTCATTACCATCAAGTTCACTTTTTAAAGAACTCAATTCATTTAGTAATCTTTGAATTTTCTCCTCTAAATTAGCCGGTTCTTTGTCTTTTTTCTCTTGTTTTACAACCAACTTCTTTTTGGATCAAACAAAAAAAGCAATCGTCCCAATGACCACCACCAATATTAGCCCGCTAACTATTCAAATTATTGTTTTTTTTTTTTTTTTTCGCATATATGTTAAATTATTTTTTAGTCTTTTCTTCATCTCATTCCAAAGAACCAGTCTGATATTCAGTTAACCGAGTTTCAAAAAAATTCTTTTTTTTATTTAAGTCAACACTTTGCGACATTCAGGGAAAAGGATTAAGCGTAAAATATATTTTTGGTAAGCCAATTCTTTCTAAACGACGGTCTGCCACATGTTCCACATACTCGCTAAATTGCTCAGCATTAATCCCTACTATTCCTTTCGGACAAGCATCCAGGGCATATTTTTTCTCTAATTCCACTGATTTTTTAATCAGTTCTGAAATTTGTTTTTGAAATTCAGGAGTTCAAACTT